ATTCATAGTGCTAATGTTATTATATTAATAGATATCTCTGTTAGAAAATAATTAATGTATATTCTTAGTACGAAAAGAAAAATCGTATGGTCTTTGTTTAAATAATTTTTGCAAGTACAAATTGTAAAGTAACAAGTAAGAATTTCGTGTTCTATAAAATTTTTATATGTGTATGTTGCATAAGATTTTTGTACAAACTATCGTACCATAATGTATGATTATTTCTTATGCTTCGTTAAAATATTTTTTATTTGAAAGTTTTATTCATTCTAATGAAACTGAAAACAAAATTAACGTGATTTTTGTGGAACACTATTAGAAAATAATTCGAATACTGAATAATTCAGATTATGGGGGATGTGTAATAGTAAATAGAAGTTGATATCGAAAAAAATGTACCGGATAAAAATTGAACAAGACACTATTTCGTTAGAAGTGAAATTTTTTCATCAAGACATGTGCATAGAAAAAGCACCATTAGGCACTTTTCAACAATTCAATAATTCTTTCTGTGCGATCAAAATAAGATGTTTAAAAATAGTAAATGCGAAGTCACCGTACCTTTATTTTCTTCTAAACCATACACATATCTACTTGTTTTTTTCTGTTTTTTTTTTTCCTTTTTATGAAACATGATTTATTTAAGTGGAGATTGTAATAAAGCGATTTTTTTTTTGTTCAACCAGTTCATTTTGTTATTTTTGTATCGTTAGCATTTTTAAGCTAAAGCGTTGATTTTCACTAGCAACATTTTACGTCATATCAAGCTTTTATTATAAAAGTTAAAGCGTGTCCAATCGCATATTTTCCCATAGACAATTTTCAAGGTAATTTTGAATCTTTTAAATTTCAAATTTTGTCTGACAATGTAAAATAGATATATTTTTTTTTTCGTCGACGTTAAGTACAATAAATTTTTCATAAACAATTTAAAAGATTCATAATCAATAATTGCTTAAAATGTTGAAAATCAGCTTATCATTGGTTTAGAAATGATTTATTCGTTGAACATAGGACAATATTTATAATCTCCTAATATTTTATCAAGTTAATGCAAAAGTTCGTGCACTTTTAGTTCTTTTCTTTTTTTTTATCCTTGCGTTATAAAAAATATGTGACAGAATGATAAGAAGAACATTCTTAATTACAAAGAACGCAATCTCCGTCATATTATGGATAATTAAATCAGCTACTTCAATCATCCAGAGAATAAGATTGCTTCGAATTTATTTTATACCAAATTACCTCTTCTACTTCGTCTCTAAGTTTCGAAGTTTTTCGTGTATTTCAAAAACCGAAAGAAAAATATCAAAAAGTTCTAACTTACCGACTAGTACCATATCGCAAAGATCGCGTTGTACACTTTGAAATATAGAATCAAGTCGAATAATTGGTTTACTCTTGGAACCTGTGTCACCGATAATTGAAATTTATTCTGGTAAAAAATTTTCCGCTTACCATTTTTTTCTCTTCATTTCGAAGATCCTTCATATTTTTTTCTGTCATCTCTGAATCTCTTTAAGCATTTCAGAATTGTCTCCATGATCGAATTCGAATTTTTTAAAACTGTACACGTGACCCTTTAGGGTCAACCTAATATTATTATATATCATTAACTTATTCAGCGTCACATTAATAGCTATGTACACTTCTGTTAAAAGCACATGAAAAATCAAGATTAAAAAATAGCAAAAGAAAAATTATATACTCTTGACGGAAAGTGAGCTCTTTTGTAAAATATTCACATTATTTACACGATATTCCTGTTTTGTTGCAAAAAACTCTCAGGTTTAGTTAAAGTGCCTTAACAAAATCTTTATCTGTTTACTCTGTTTTACGAATCTGCTTTTTTTTTCTAGAGTCACCTCAGCTACCCCCCATTTCCGGGTGTTCGAGGAGTTACGGGACACCCTGTATATGTATATATATGCAAGGACATGTCAATGTGTTATATTATTGTTAAACATATAAGTTGGATATATCATACAGAGCTATTAAAAAAATATTACACTTTCATAGTATAATCAACATTGACTCCTTTGAACAATATCTTTATTCACATATTTTAGTAGATCATTGTAATATTTAGTACTTTCAATATATTGCAAAGACAGTACAATAGGTCCATAAGAGCAAGTGACATGTATTAAAAA